TTCCATTCTTTGTAGCATAGTCTCCAGGCTGTCACTGTCAAGCATGGCTACAGCCTGGGCTTGCACCTTCTCATGTCGCTCTATCTTCCATAGTTCCTGGGCTGTGTCTTCCAAAAGATCATCCAATAACTTGTTACTCAGGATGTCTGCATTGGCTGCAGCCTGTTGTTTAGAAAAAGAGGAAAACAAGGCCAAAAAACATTGGGAAGTCAATTAAAAAAAAAAAAATTAAAAGCAGAAATTTTTAGAAATAGACGGCCCTGCCATTTCGACCTCGTCCTTCAAAATAGATCCAGACAGATGCTTATCTTAATTTCACTCGTGCAGTGAACCAATTTAGTGAAAATTAGCATGTGCAGGCACTGTCTAAAAAGTATCACAGAAATAACTGGAGTAAAAAGAGCTCCACGTATCACTGCATTATGCCCTTAATGCTTAAAACAGTGTTGTCCCCACACTCAATTCAGGGATCCCCTGGGGATCAACAGAAATACAGCTATAGAACCATACCTACATAACTAATGTAGGTGAGAAATTTTACATCTGAGTATAATGAATAACATGTATAGAGATAAGCCTGTGCGTAGATATAGGATCATGGCCAGAATAACTTCCAATGGCATTTTCTTGAATTTGAGCATTTAACTAGATAACTATGCTGTAACATGACTCTTTGCCTACCAGTATCTTTCATATTTGCTTTTTTACCTTGGACTTAAAAAGCATGAAACAAAGCACACACAAAGGATGTCTGCCATAGCTTTCCATGCTAATTTCAGAAAATGATTTCCGTGGTTTTAATTGAAAATATCAACTTACTTCATGTTTAATGAATTCACACTTTGTATGTTAAAAGTATGACAACACTTCTACAGAGAAATGTGTTTTACATAATGATCAAACTAATTAAAAAATAACAAGGTCATTCTTTTTAGTTTCCACAGGAATAGGCTACAATTTAGAAAATCAAATCTAATTTCATATCCTTTTTTTGCCAAGCTCACAAGAAAACACCTTCTTGCGTTTCAAACAGCTTTACTGCATTATATATGAACAGAACGTACTTTTTCAGCAGCCTGGGATGACAGTTTGCTTATAAATGAAGAATCCTTCAAATGAGTGTTTGTTTCCAGAGAACGATTGACCTTCTAACAGAAGAAGAGTATGTTAATGACTACTGAATACTTTTTACTTATATTAGTACAAATTACATTTTGTTATGAAAGGTAATATTTGAAGTGTTAACATACTCTGATCAACTCCAACAATATTCAACATGGAATTCTGATGACTATCCACAACCATTTATCTGTTTGCCAGACACTAAATGAAAAGCACTTATTTATTACAGATGTGGCAAACTTATCCTGATATGTCAAGGACAGCAGGAAGAAGAGAATATTCCTTAACTGAATGTCTTGCTTAGCCAAGACAAACAATTCTAGACTAGACATAGCTCTTCAAATGTGCTAATTACCTTGTAAATAAATTAGGTATGTGCAATCTGCTCTCCTCTTTAACATGAGCCATAAATCTAAAAGTGGCTCTTAACCTGTCGACATGAGCTCTGACAGGATTACCTGTGCTTTTTCCAAGAGGGGTTCCAAACGATCCCGTACTGCTTTCTCAACCCGGTCTGCCAGCTGCGTTGGAGATGCGCCTTCTGACCTGAACAAACAAAAAAACAAAACAAAACAAGTGAGAAACAAGCTGCAGTGAAAATGGGATATGACAAAGGGAAGAACATAAATCCATGCTCGAGAAAAAAGGGTGTGTCAAAAACCTGATACCAAATCCACTTCTGTGCAGCACAACCAGGCAATTACCTCAATTTTTGGATCTTCTCCATTTCTTCTCTACTGAGATTAGTTAGTTCTTCCATTCTCCGTGAGGTTTCTGCATCAAGCCAAGCTAGCCTTCAGAAATGAAACACAAGAGAAGTACGTGTAAAAAAAGGAAAATGCGCATTTCCAGGAACTATAAAATGAAACGTAAAGAACTCCATAAAGGCTGAATAAGGTTTGTTACGAAAAGTCAAATATAATATTAAGTCCCAGGCCTGAATCATAATAAGCCAGGAAATTCTTTGTTCATTGTCTCAGAATGTCCTAAAGTGGCGCTTGTTTCAGAGACAGAATTGTCTAGTTGATGCATGACAGAGCTAAAATCAGGAAAGCTGGATTTTATGCTCAAAATGACAGTGCCAGTGTATGACCTTTGGTACTGCGTTGGTACCCTGCAAAAGGAGGATAATATTTACCTAACCCTGAGACTTAATCAACTCATGTTTGCAAAACAATGAGTTCTCGAGACAGAATCTAAGTGGCAGGCATATCAACAAATCAAGAAGTTTAAACATCTAAGAGCACTAACTACCAATAACAATGTGATGCAGATAGAAATTAAGGCACATGAAGATGATCTAATAAGGAAGTCTAGGAAGACCTAGGTACCACAAATGTAGTGAGATCCCAATAACTTCAGTGAGCTGGGCACATAGCTAGGATGACAAAAGATAGATCAGTCAGGTCTCTTGGTAAGCCATTCCTTTTGTGTTCACCTTCAGGAGATATCAAGGGGATGATGGAGGGTAACACTGAATAGACCTGAAAGCTCTTGATGTGAATTACCAGCAATGGGGAAAATACATCCTTGACAGAAAAGATCTGGGCACCAAGGAATTCTAGAGATGACAGAACGAGGGAGGAGGAGGAGGAGCTGTGCTTTCCAGTGCATAAGGCTGCATCTTCTTTCATCCGTACACATTCTGTAGTTTCCTAAAACGCTCTTTGGATAATTATTACAGCAAATATTGCACCTAAGATTCTGTCCTGGCAGAGACAACAGCTATGTATGGGAAGAACAGATTGGAAATTTCAACTTTTAGATTGCATGTTCAAAAGGGACAAGTGATTTCAGCTGCCTCAACTTTCAGATGGCCAATGAGAGATAAAATAAAGACATGCAATCATCAGAGAAGAGCCAGATCTTTTTAAGATGTCACAAGTCAAGCACATAAAACCTACCATATTTGAAAACCTGGGCCTGAATTTCCACATTCATGTCCTGGGGATTATTTTAACTTTGTTGCCATGTTAAGGCAAAACCCTGCTACTTTGGATTCTTTCTGCCCTTATTTATGGCAGAGAAACCCATCCACTATCCAACAATTCAGAACAACATCAAGCAGGAATTATTGTGCCTCCAATGATATTTGACAGCTTCCTAACATCTGCCTGAATATTCTGGCCTCATTAGCTTCAGCAAAATTAAGCAGATGCACACATTCATTTGAAGATCTGCATATTAATAGATGTCATTTGTTACCAGGCAGGCTAAGCCCTGTCTGGGTTTATAAAAAAGAACTTGGTGTGTAATGAAAAGGTAGTTCTGTTACACAACAGAAACAATAAGCATCTTCTTTGGAGGAAGAATTTGGGTGGGTATTGTATAAACATCACTAGAAGGTGGAATTCAATATAAAACTATGAAAGGAGAAAAAAAAGGAGCCTGTTATAAAGGGTGATCTGCCTAGTTTTGTTCAATAAGATATATTTGATTTACGTTTTCCTTGTCTGCCACCAAACCTCCCCTGGCTTATAGGAATGATTTCTGATGCTTTTGGTTGTTCAGCCAGTTTTCTGTCTCTACTCGCATGCCTGTTGCTCACTGCTATTCACAGAAGCAGTCCTGGGAAATGGACTGTTACTAGACAGTCTGTATAGAAATGACCAGGTTCCTTCCAGTCACTGGAAGAACAGGAGAAGAAAACAAAGTGCCTCCTCACAACCAGAAAAGGCTCCAAAGAGAAATAATGTAAGAGTGGTAGAAGTCCTCAGCTGGGAAAGAAATAAACTGTAAGCCTAGTTTTACTCCTTCGTGGGGTAGAAAATAAGAGAAGCTCCTCCCAATCTCTCACAAGGAGTTACCTCCATGGTTCCATGTAAAGGGGAGGAGACTGGCTGCACAGCCATGGGTTACTCCCGTGGTTCTCAAAAACTTTTTAGACTCAAGGCACCCCTCTGAAAATGCCAGCTCTTTGTTTTCACTCATTTTCTGACCCAAGAGAAATAACAGAGCAATTCTTCTGTTGCAAACAATTCAGAAAGACCACAACCGGTCAGAACATTTTGGACACTATGAATACCTACTTCAAATCTCTGGGTTCACCCCGTGAATCATGTCTGCACACCTATGAGTGCTGACATTATGTGGTATCCCGAAGCATTCTTAAAAGGATCTCCAAGCACTCCAGGGTGTCACAATACCCTGGCGGAGAATCAGCGATTTAGTTCTTTGCACAGACGTAGCTTTGGTTTGGCTTTTGCTTGCCTAAGAAGCAGTGATCATCTACCCTCAAAATGTGATTAATTCCATAAAATAAAGAGACAATTTAAGTTTTAAAAGACATTTAAAAAAAACCCCATGAATTGTATTTGTAGACCAAAAATGCATACCAACCTGAGGGCTTCTTTTTCTATGGCTCCTAGTCCTCTGTCTTCTGATTTCTCCTTCTGCAGAGTTGTCTGGTCTTTGCTAAGACCTTTGGGACTAACATTTGTGGGTCCCCTGTGAGTGCTACAAATAGATGAAAACAGCATTACTATTATCCACTTTTGTATCTTAAAAGTTTTCTATTCAGAACAGACCAGCTGACTACGCTAAATCAAGACTCAGTTAGGCCTCAGTCCTGCAAAACTTCCAGACATATCTAACTTTACTCATTTAAGTAAACCCACTGACATAAAGGAACCTCGGTGCATGCTGAAAATTAAGCATGTGTGAAAATGTTTGCAAAATTACGACATTAACTGCCAAATGGAGAATTAAAAGGATCTCTTCTTCTCCAAAATGTCTTCCCACGTGATCCTGCAGTGGGGCTACAGAAAGGTACAGAACCTCCATCCAAGTTTTGCTTATTGAAAGACCTGAGCCCTAGCTATTTTACTGTGTCTCAGCTTATTTACCAGTAATCTTGCTACTAAACTCTTTTTAGAGGGGGAAGAGAAACATAAATGAAAATAGAGGATCAGATTCATACTGCAAACATACTTGCTCTGACATACCAGAATCTACTTTTGAAAAGTTTATCTCCACTCTAGTTTGTTACTCAATACTCAATTAAGTACTGAATAATTTAACTTGTATCCAATAAAAAACTGATTGTAAAAGAAACACATAACTTCAGTGTTAGCAGACATTCTTCTCCTGTGTAGGATTAATTGTTCAAGCATTTATCCCAACAATTATTACAGATTAATAATAGACAACATGTACGCTTCAAATATAAACCTATCTATGAACGTACCGTTTAAGGGAAGCTGGTGGGGATGTGGGGTTTGGAGGCACCCAGGGTATTCTGTTCTCCTTAACAAGTCTCTTGCTCTCTTTTAGCCTGAACGCTAACGTTGTTTCTTGAAATCGGGCGTGTTTTGCTTGAGGTGGCACAGGTCGCGATTTCTGAGTCTTCTGGGCTCCCTTTAAGGTACATGTTAGCATTACAACATATTCATTGTTAGACTTTAATGAAAATAAATGTTTTGTACTCTGAATTGGAATTTCTGTCTTGGTGTCAGGTCAAGGGAGGTTTTAGCACTTGGCTTTATGAACCTGACTTGAAAGAGAGTAAAACTGTGCCCTCATAACGTATGGGCCCAAGCTTGCACCCATTTATTTTGCAGCTGGTTCCATTATTTTCAGTGTCAGCATCCACAGGAATAAGGAATTCTTAGATGAGGAAAGCTTGTTGGATTGGACCTTACATAAAATTTTAGCGAATAAAACGTGTGCGCGCGCGCGCGCACGTGCGTGCATGTGTGAGCTTTTAGCGAATAAAATATGCACATGCGCACGCGCGCACACACACACACACAGGTATTCAGTTCACAAAACTCCCTTCAGATGGAAGATTATAAGGTTTATATTTACAACATGGGAGACTACAGACTGCTCCACAGTGAGAAATTTTAAAGTCATTTTTCACTCTCAGATAGGAACTGTTCTGACGTGCGAGTGAAAAATGTGAAGTGAGCCACTACATAGTAGATTATTAAAACGTTCAGCCTAGCTTTCTGCAAGCCCGACATACACATTTGTTATTCCCCTAATATATAATAATACACCAAAATGGCTTTATTTTTCAGATTTAACGATGAGAATAGGAGAAAGAAAATCAATGCACAAACAAATATCTATTTTCAGTGTTTGACCATTTAAAAGGTGGAAACATCAGTAACAGAGAAAACATAAGGAATGAAATTTGCTTGTACCAAGGAAGCCCTCTGCTGGTTGAAAACGGCCTTTGCCACAACTTCAAGGCTCTCTATCAAGTGATTGCATATTAAGTATTATAAATTAGTAAAAGAAAAGTTCAGCTTCAACTCTAGGCTGAAAAACAACTGAACTAATTTAAAATGGGATTCAAAACGCATACTTTTCTTCCCACTAAAGTTTTTGCAAAACCACTATGCATTGTTGCTAGCTATAGACCATGTTTCTGAATGGTGGTCATGTTACTTTTCTGGTGAGACCCTTTATCAAATGATGGCAATACCACCAAATCAACCAAGTGGAAATGGAGCAGGCTTTCTCCTTCTCCCAGCATCCCCTGAACTCTAGACACTCAGGCAGGACTCCCCTCCCCCCACAACCATGAAGCCTTGGGTAAAAACTGCATAGAAAAGCTAGCTAGAGATTTAAGATAGCAGGAGGCTATGCATCTCCTTCTCCTATCCTTTTCTTTTCTGCCATATTCCCCCTCCCCCCTTAGGAATTTGCTAAGTAGCTTTTCCCTAACCAAAAAAGAAGTTTGGAAAAACTAATATATTCTTTGTCATCACATTTTCACTCTGCTTTGTGCAATATTCCTTTCCTATGCTCTGTCCATGTGTCTGACTTGACTGTTTAGATAATAAGATCTTCAGGGTCAGAACCAGGGGTTCAGTTTGTGCAATGCCTACCAAAATAGAGCCGCGTTCTTGATTCGTCCACAGGCAGTATTGGCACTTAAACTAAGAATGCCCAGTTATGCTTAGAGGAGTAAGGAGGTAAATCTTTCAGGGTTTGGGACGTAGGTAGAGAACAAATGATTTGATTCAATGGCCACTGCAATCAATTAAAAGCTTTCCCCAATTTCAGTGGCCGTTAGCTCAAGCTCTTACAAGTCTCACCCTGCAGGATGCCGAGTGCTTTTGACTCCCACCTAAATGAACAGAAGATTTGCACTGGTGAAACTAACATCCACATCACAAGTATATTACTCCTAATAACTCTGTCTATTAAAAAAGTCCATTAACTGGAAGAAAATGTTTTACTTCTGCCTGAAAGTGTTTTGCTGTTTACCATTACATAAACTGCCTACTATTGTTAGAAATGAAAGCAGTTAAATAAATACAAAACTATCTATTTTTCTCCAAACATTTATTTAGGGCATTTGATAACACTTGGTACATGTGGGAGTCAGGAGCTGTAAACTACTAGTAATTCAGCATTTCAGGTTAGTAGGTTTCATGCTGGGATCCCTTTGACTGTACCTTACATTAATTTACAACTCCCTGAGCAAAAGAAGATGGAACCAGTTATCTGACATGTCCTACCTGTGGTTTGGCAGGTAGCAATACTCCTTTCTTCTTCAAAGGTCCACTTTCCAGTACAGATCCTTTTTTCATTGCTCCAGCTCTAACTAATGCATCCAGACTTGCTTTTAAAACCGCATTCCTCTCTGGTGTAGGTGGGTCCTGATCTCGCTGTGATTTTTCATGCGACACCTCAACCTCACTGCTTAATTTCTGTGTCACTGAAATATCTGCCACATGATCATCTATACAAATAATTAAAAATAAACCTTAAATGGTAAGCTCCTTAAGCAGAAAACACCTTCATTGTGTATCTATGAAGTACACAGCCCAGTGGGGTCCTTATTCATCACACAAATAAACCACAATCCAAGCAGACTTCCTGCCAAATATTATACAACTATGTCTCTATACTGTTTCAATAAACAGGCTCTATATGTTTCAAGGGCCCATAGCAAGAAACTGTCATTTGAGGACTAGACAATGATAAAACATGTTTCTAGGCAGTATGAGACAAAATTCATCAAATACTTGGGGACCTACTCTGTGTTTCGGTTTATGCAGAAATAATTCTCCCAAAATGGAAATAAAGGAATTTGGAGTACGTTACTTTAGTAGACAATGGTATAAGGAGAACTCCCCATCTAATAGCAGCATTAGTTTTCATATAATAAATCAGACTTCTATAATAGCTTCCATGGTTGTATCAAAATGCTCCACTGATTAACTAAACCTTACAACACAGCAAAACCAGGCACAGAAGCCAAAACTAAAGACTCCCAGTCCTGTGCTCTATCAGCCAATGCTCCCTCTCCATGCATTGAAACTGGAGGGGGAGGGTAGGAAGTTAAAAAGCTATGATGTAAGAGGAAAATGGCCTAAAAGTAAAAGGCACACAAAGCAAGCTTGGAACTTCTTCCTCAAAAATTTAGAAACCTACACAAGGATAAGGAAATTCTGGGTTAAGGATTCATTACTACTTATTCTTCAATCCAGGTGTGGGGGTGTGTGTTTGGGGGGGGGGTTACTTGCGCGCGCACACACACACACACCACGCGTGTGCAAAGCAGCTAGTATTCACTTTGGATTCAGATTTGGCCGATTCAGGGGACAGTGATTTGATTCAGTGATTCAAATCACTGTCCCAAACTGATTCAGCCAAATCTGATTCGGAGATTTGGCTGCCGCCAAACTGGCCAAATCTACAAATCAGCCCCATCCTCTGCCCGCTCTTCCAGCCCCATCAGTGGCTGCCCCACCTGGCCCCAGCCTCCTGGCTCTTTAAAAAAAGAGCCTGGCACACACCAGCTGCTGCCCCCCACTGTGTGGGGGGCTCTGTCATGAGTCCCCATCCCCCAGCATCCCAGCTCTTTTAAAAAAAATAAGAAGAAGAAGAAGAAAAAAAGAAAAAAGCCCTACATTCACCAGCTGCTGCCAGGTGGAGGGGATGATCTCCATTGCCCCCCACTGCCTTGTGCTGCGTGGGGGGCTCTGCTATGAGCCCCCATAAGCCCTGACAGCCACTGCAACAGCTGGCGAGTGCGGGGCTTTTTTTTGTTTTAAAGAACTGGGAGCTGGGGCTGGGTGAGAGGCCAGGGGATGGGGCCTGGCAGGGCCATGGTCCCCTTTCCCCACTTCTCTAGCCCCCTGCTCCCCCACCCCCTACTTACCAGCACGGGGTCTGGGTCCAGCTCTCTGCAACAGTAAGTGGGGACTGCCCGAATCTCCGAAGCTCTCTGAATCGATTCAGAGAACTTCAAATCAATTTGGACCTTTTTATTGGTCTCCAAATTTGGTTTGGATTTAGAGATTTGGCCGCCGAATCGGGCTGAACCTCCTCCAAATCGAATCAGCACCCAAAGCTTTGCATGGCCCTAATCTATATACATATTTGCAACATATATGGTATCAATTTCACATGTTGGTAATTTTACAGTCTCCTGGGCTAGATATATAAAGTCAATGTAAGACAGGTAGATAGGTATAGGTATACTGCATACACTAGCTGACTGCAATAGTAAAGAATCGCCCCAACATTATACTTTTTATATATACAATATAGATCTGTGCAGGGCCTTTAAAAAAAATCAAGTCAGAATGCTGTCTCCTCATCTGAAGCTTTGAAAGGACTATAGAGGACTGACAACCAAAGGATGAGTTAGAAGACACTTTCAAATCATAAATGGGCCATCCTGAACCTCAGATTTCAACAATTAAAGTTTCACTGCAAATCACTATGGTCTGAGTACATTAACCAAGAAAATCCCTTTAATCAAACATTTAGAACACAAACCAGTCAAAAGTTTCCTGGCTACTGGAAGTTTTCTCTGTTCTTGTCCAAGTCGCTCCTTTGAGACAGGTGGTTTTTTCTGTTTCCTTGGAGATGGGATCTGCTCTTTAGCTGGAAATATTTCATTGTTCACTGGAGATTTGCCCTGAGATGCTGAGAGGCATTTCTTCACTTTCTTGGGCAATTGCTTTTTTTCCAGTACAGAATCCAAATCCTGAAACAATTTTGTTGTCCATTTAAATTATTTTCTAATCAAACTTAATTAATTTTACTAGAGTCAGGAGATGCAAAGTTAAAGAGTTTCTATGTAATTCATTTTTCATATTACCATTCATGATGGCTTGCCCATCCAAAAACTTTTTATATAATAAAC